ATTGGTTACTAATGGAACGCAATGCAATGCTACACGTTATTGAAAACTTCCTTATAAACAACATTTTGAGTTGCATTTGCGGTCTTGCCGTTGTCATCACATATAAGAATTCTCAAACCACGCCTGTTGGTCACTCTTGAAACCGCAACATAGAGTTGTCCATGCGTGAACACCGGTTTCCTCAACAACAAACCCACACGGGACAACGATTGACCCTGACTTTTATTAACAGTCATAGCATAAGAAATCATGATGGGGTATTGTCGCCTCTGAAATTTGAACGGCAAGTTTGCATCAGAGGGAGTCAAGGACAACCGAGGAATCAACACTCTCTGGCCAGCACTGACACCAGTTAAAATTTTACCCTCCAAAACATGATCGCAAAGTTTGGTGAGAATTAGCCGAGTACCATTACACAAACCCATGGAATGATCAATATTTCTTAGAAGCATGACTGGGGTGCCAACCTTTAATGTCAACTTGTGATTCGGTACACCAGACAACTTAATGCTGTTTAGGAATTCAGGGGTGTGCAGTTCTGCCATTAGATCAGTTGTAGAATCCACCTTTGACACGCTGTCAGAGCTAAGGTATGTCCTTGAAACCTCGCCGACGTTGAGACCCATCATATAATCATTAACGGATTCTACAACGGATAGGGTAGGGGCTAATATTGCGCGGTCACGTAGACAATTAAGGTCATTTGCAGATGCAACATACTCCGGAAAAATGCTTTTCACAATAGCAGCAACAGGATCGCCATCAGTGTGAATCAATAAATCATCAGGAATATCAACAGACCCAAACCCATCATTTTCTTCCCCCAATACACCATCACCAATGCTGGCAATCCACTCTGAAAAAATCTTTAAATCATAGGAATCTGCCTCACTTGACATGTTTTGTAGACGCATATTTTTGGTCAACCGAAGGACGGTGCAATCTGACCACAAATATGACGAATTGATGGTGGAGCTCACAACATCCTGTCTGCTGCCGTTTGGTATCACGGGGAGGACCTGGCGAAAGTCGCCTCCAAATAACACGGTTTTTCCACCGAAAGGCATTGTGCCGCTATCTTGTTTGTGGAATTGCATAATATCTCTCATGCTACGGTCCAAAGCCTCAAAACAAAATTTGTGCAACATAGGAGCCTCATCCCAAATAATTAACTTGCATCGTACAATAAGTCTTGCGAGAGGACTACCCTGTTTGATATTACACGTTGAGTCTTCATTCAAAATAAGTGGTATTGCAAATCGGGAATGTGCAGTGCGTCCTCCAGGAAGAAGCAAGGAAGCAATACCGCTTGAAGCAACATTTAAGACGATTTCCCCCTTAGACCGAAGTGCGGCAGAAAGTGTTTTCCATACAAACGTTTTCCCTGATCCGCCATACCCGTAAACAAAGAAAACACCACCAACATCGTTTCCCACGGATTGCATTATCGTTTCATAAACACGGAGTTGTTCATCCGTCAAAGAGCGAAATAATGTTGCGTGCTCTTCTGCCATTGCAGTCCGGTCATAGCTTAACTCTTCGTACACCATTCTGTCACTGGAAGATAGTAGCGAATCAAGGGAAACAGTTGGCATTGAAGGGTAATCTCGTAAACTCTTTCCACGACCTCGCAACAATCTTTCTAATTCAGCCAAAGCCAATTTCTTTAACTGGTCATCAGAAAGAGTCAATTCTACAAAAAAAAAAGTTACATTGAGGCTTCAAACAATAAGAAAAAAATAATTAAATTCAAAATAATGCACAAACAACACACACACACACACAATCTAAAGAAACGGATTCATCCCAAACATTATAAAACCTGGATGCTGCAACATTCGCCTCTGGGTGTGTTGTATGTCGTCCGCCATGAACCTCCAACAATGTTCCCAAACAAATTCAGGGCGAGCCATTGATTCCGTCCACAACAAAATAACGAATAATATCCTCATATAAAAGCCTGAAGAGAAGAAGCTGGCTTCCTTGAAAGCATCAACAAATTCCTTATCATCATCAAGTAAACCCAACGCATAACAGGCCTCACGAAATGAAAGATATGTCACACCAGCCACAGTTCTCAAATCTTCGTGACACATTGCACCACGAATGTGATTCAAAAGGCACCTGATGTAATAAGATTCACCGCTACAGGGATGAACATAATATATCCTGCCAATCGCAAAAGCCTTTTTCCTATGAGTCCATTCCCTATTCTTTTTGTTCCAAACAAACTTTTGAGGAAACTCCGCATACGTCAATGTTCTGGCCTCGGGATATTTTTTATTTGCCTCCATCCATGCTGTGAACATACTCTCCTTAACAGACATTGCATTGACAACAACGTCGAGCGGCTGGTCATCATGAAAAACCACAGACTGCTCGTTGGGCAAATGAAAGCTGAGTCGCTCCACAGGTGGGTTCTTGTATTGGATTTCAAAACCATAAATCCTCCAAGCAGCCTCGCAAGGGGAAATGTATCTACAATCGTAATACATTTGAATCTCATCGACAGACTGTTGCTGAGTATCGCCATCCACAGTTCTATAAAAGGCTGCCGTTACTCGATCACGGCCCTTATTAATGTACTTGAAGAGATACTTTATGGACCTTGACTGGTTACACCACTCTACATTCATATGAGCACCATATTTCATCAACAAATATCTATTGTGGGGGACAACAAACCTATTGTCCAAAGCCGCATTACTCTTATGGATCACGCGACTGTTACGAACACGTTTATAAACAGGGTAACCTTCCTCATCAACGCATGTTTCAGAACACCATTTTTTGGGAAAGTGCTTTGAACACTTTCCGTCAACCATGCAAGGCGCAGACTTGAATGCACTACCACAGGGGCCATGCATCATAAAATCTCTGACCGCGCCATAGTACAACGGATCGCGGTTCACATCTGGTATTTCAGCAGATATAACTCTATCAATATCTTCTGGCGAAGGCAACTTATCCTCAACCGAGAGCCACAACAAAATATGGGCATGAGGCAATCCACGCTTTTGGAACTCAATCGTGTAAACAACTGAGAAAAAATAAAAGTGTAAGCAATTATGATTCCAAATAAAAATAAAAAACACATAATTCTATTACCTCCCCTCACACTACCAAATGACTTCCTTTTCCTTAAATCCTGAATTAAACCGTCAAGCTTTATCTTGAAGACCCGAGCAACCACATCTGGACGATCTTCTGGTTTTAGATTTCTCGCGTGGAGAAAACGATCGATCTCTGGCCACCTAGGGTTACAGGTAAATGTTTGGAACTGATTCTGCTTCTGATTCTTTTTTAAAGCAGAAGCAGAATCAGAATCAGTTTTCAGAAGCTGGTCTCCCCCAACTTCTAAAACTAATGATTCTAGGAGTAAATTAGAGCATCACTTGTGCACTTTCACCCAAACACTCAAACTTCTGCTTCTGCTCCCAAAAAGGTTTGTCAAATTGACATTTCTTGGTCAATGTCAATCAATTTGGAGTAATGATATTTTTGAATACGAAATTGTGTCGAATATGAAAATTATACTCCCTCCGTCCCAATTTGATGATCCCATTTCTTTTGGGCTCAAAGATTAAGAAAGTGGTTGAGAAAGTAAAAGTTGTGGTTGAGATTTGAGTAGAAAAATGTGAAATGATGCGGACCACATATTTCTTTCCAAAAAGGGAAATGAGACTATCAATTTGGGACGGCCCAGAAAGGAAATACGGGATCATCAAATTGGGACGGAGGGAGTATCAAAATGTTCTTTATTCAAAATAATTTCCTAAAAGTATAAAATTTAAAAAATATTTACAAATATAATAATTAAAATCATTGCCCAAAGTTAGCCATCATTGACCGGGAAAAGTCAATACGTCGAACCTTTTCAGGATGGATGTAGTAATATTTTGATGGTCGTATATATACTTTTTCATTCATCTTTATATTGATGAATAATATGACAATATTTAGGATGCTTTTAATAGAGATGTTTTCGTGGTGATTTCTAAAAACACGGACATGGCAACAAGTAATGCAAAATAACGGGAGTTATAGGATGGGATATACCACTTTTTCATTGAATTAAACAGTTTATAGAATGTCGTAATGTTATAAGAGAATCCGTTACAAGTATTGGATGATTGATATAAATATTATATATTTGAATAATTAACATTTATCATCTTAGTTAACTAATCATATTCATTTTTTATTTGTTTGACTAATTTCGAAGGTGGAGGGCCCCACCTTTTATCAATGAAAATTTTCACAACACAAAATTATTTTCTTGTATTATTTAATATTCATCATAAAAATAATCCTACATATTTTTCAAATTATTTTATTGACATACACCATTTCGAGTAAATGTAAAAAAATAATAGAATATTTTCAGATTATGTTCATATTTACTCCAAATGCATTTTAAGTTGTGTTAAAAACTGAAATTGTTAGACCAATAGTTATTTTTTCGATGTTTATTTAGTACTACGTATTATATATTACCACCCTTGAATTAAGAATACGAACAATATTTTATGCATTTCATTAATATAGTACTCCGTGTACAGTTGTGCATATTTAGGCCCAATTAAAGGTTTATGCATTTCAACAATATTTAGTACGAAAATATTGAATTAATGGTTTTTGTCGTTTTGAGATGTGCGCTGAGCAAAATCATGGCACAATTTTGAAGAGGATCAATTACTATATTGAATGAATGGGAAGGGTAAAATTGCCAAGGCCGCATAGTAATTCAAGTGGTGCGCGTAATAAAAGGATAGACGTAGTAATCTGAATTTTTGTGATCTGATCTGAGTAAAATAAGAATAATTTAGGAAAAATTGATAGTAATAATCCCAACTATTGGCGGTCCGCTCAATAAATAATAAACCATAATTCCATTACCGCAAACAAAAAAACAGATATACGTATATATATTAATTAATGGGAATCTAAATATAATATAAATAAACTCGGAAATACTACTAACCAAACATTTCCGTTTCATCCAATACGTTTGCCGTCAACACGCTCTCAAAAGATTTGAATTTATACAGATCATTCAAGAACTTAGGATCATCATGATCCGTAATTTGAGTCTTTGGCATAAAAAGTATCTTGAACTTGTTGGGTGTGGTCTTGTATTTTTTCCCATCGTATGCCACCACGAAATTGCCGATTGCATAAACCCCTCCCTCTTTCATTGAATCCTTAAACTTTGCTATCAAAAAATTACGAATCGTTCCATGGATACGATCGCCCTAGCAATTAAAAAAAAAAGTCGCAGAGCATAAATATTAGTAAATATTAAATATTAACGAAGTACATAGACTAAAATTCACAGTAAGTATACCTCTCTGTCGTGAAACACGCATTCCAAAGTCCTCACTTCGCCATCTTCACTCCGTGAGTAATACATCCGCACCACCCTTAATCTCAAACCCCAAATCCTTGATTGAGGAGATACATCCCGAATCAAGCCGAACATAGCCGCCATTGATCTATAGTCTGCAAGTACTAAAGTCGAATGATTTGTTGTTGTCTATTCGCTATGATGGGCTGCAAAGTTTTAAAAAGAGACTATTTATAACAAAAGTTCGAACCCTATTTAATGTTCTTGTGAGGTTTTTTTACAACATTTTTTAAACGTCTATTCATATCCCGAAATAAGTCACTTTGGAAAATAATCCTATTTAAAAGTACTGCCAAAATTTTGTACATGTATATCCTGTGAAGTGTGAAGATTGGCAATTTCGAAAGTCACTTTGGAAAATAATCCTATTTAATGATGACCAATTTTGGAAACCGAAAAGTAATTCTATCTGCACGTTTCACATTAAGTAATTCTGAAAACGAAAAGTAATTCTATTTGCAAATTTCACAATAAGCTATTCGGAAACCGAGAAGTGCAACAGCATTAACACAAATTAATTCTATTTGCACGGTTCACACTAAGCTTGCCTTGAATACCGTTTTACACATCCAAGATTAATTCAAATTTTGAATCACATTCCCACCCAATTTCCCTCCCAAACTCTCCCCCACACTTTTCCATTTTAATATATATATAGATTATTGAGGGTATGATGGGAAGATTAAGAAATGAGAAGATTTTTTTGTTACGGACGAAAAAGGAAAGTGGGAAGATTTTTAAGTTAAAGAGGGAGTAATAAGAATAAGGCCAACAACACCGCTAGCACCTCTCTCATCAACAAAACCTATCTTATCTGTTTTGCTCGCCTCGCCGCAGCATCCATTCGATCGGGATGGCTGAAGCTGGAAAGTCGACGAAGCAAACACGCGATATTCGCCCCATCACAGATCTTAGTCGGTAGTTTTCTCTTTAATACTTCGAGTACTTTTCTTGATGTCACGATCTCGATCACCTCTACACGGGAAGCTATAATCACTTTGTGATTTTTTTTTTCCAGATAAAACACAATCTATTTCCTCTTTGTAGGACGTTTTAGTAATAATCTCTTCATCATTTCGTTTCGTTTAGCTTATGTGCTCCTTTGGTCATTGGTTTTGACAGATTAAGCCCTCGCGTCCCTACACTGCGTACGGTTAATGGACGCTATCCTAAAGGGGCAGCCATTCCATACGCAAAGTATGCCTTGTCAAGTTTCAATGAGAAAAATCGGGATCAACAGGTTAGTGTTTAGACCTGAAACTCTGGTTCAGCTGTTCCTTCCCAAATCGGCATCTGTGTGTATTTTGACCATGTTTTGCATGTCCTAATAATCTTGTCAGGGCCCTGAGTATGAGCTTGTTGATGATCGTGGCTGTGTTTTTCAGCCCAGAGCCTGTGTCCTTCATTTGAACTTCATAGCTAGGCCGAAAAACGGTACTGAAGCTGAGAATAAACTCTGTTTTGCTGAACTGAAGTTTCGTACCGGGGAGGATTATAAGTGTATTGTCCGCTGCACCATATGCTGCATCTTAGGTCCATGGGATCCTGAAGCGCATCTTGAACCGGGTGAATTTTGCCTCCTTTTTTTTCAATTTTGCCTCTTTTTTTTTTCTTCAATTTTGCCTCCTTTTCTCCAATTTAACTCCCAATACAGATTTAACCGAACAAAAAAACCAAAAATTTGTGGCCAAGCACTTTGTAGTTTGATGGTACATAATGTCCTCTCAAAATGGTGGCCACATATACCAATCTCGTCCAAGTTAAAGATGTTTGCATAACCCAAAAGAAGAACCCACAATTTGTACACCAACTTTCCTTGTATCTGAACCTTTTTTATTTGCATCTAATAGAGAATCTAGATTCTTAATCTCGTAGAAGATAATACAGAGTAACATTTTTCAGAGATACAAGTAGAATGCAACAAAGTTATCATCTCACTTAAGATAATTAGTGGCACTGTGAATTGAACCCATTGACTACTACCCGCTGCACTCCCTTCCAATTCACAGTGGAATCATTGCATATAGATGGTGTATTTTTATGCAATATTTTCTAAGAATTAATCTTTATATGTTATCATCCTTAGTGCAATGTCACGAGTTGACTTTTTTTATATACCTTAGTCTAGCCATGTACCACCTAGTTTACTCCTCAGTCCTCACATCAAGGGCTAAATCGCGCCGGATATTAAATGGACTGACCGCTCAGACAGTTCAGTGAAACATTTTGCTTTATTCCATCATATTCCCAAGCCAAAAAAGAGTGAGTCTTTGGCTTCATTGCAAATGGTGGAATTATTCTAACAAAAAGTATGTGAAGTTAAAATGATTTTGAGTATCTAAAAATAACTTAATATCCAAAAGAAGCACTTTCTATTATAAATGTTTTGAAGTTTATTTCAAAGATTGTTTTGAATTTTATATGGAATTCAATGAACATGTTAAAATCTGCTCTGAAAATGGCACCCATGTTGCGGCAATGGTGATGGCGCACATATAATGCTGACACATGTACACTCATTGCCAGGACTCATTTTTGTGGAAAGGGCTCTTCATATCGCCAAAAAGGCTCTTCATATCTCCAAAGGGCTATTCTTATGAGTATAAATTATTGTAGGCCATTTACCCCCCGAAGATATAGCTTCATCTCGCAACAAATCACCCTCCTGTTTCAGATTTACTTGTTTTCTTCTTTGCAAGTGCTTTAGATCTAGCAACATATTACCTTCCTGATTTCCTGATTTAGATTTAGTTGTTTTCTTCTTTTCAACTCTTTTAATAACTACTCTTGCCTGATTTCAATTCATAGTATTGATCTTACAATGTCTAGGGAAGTTCAGGATATTACGGAAATTAGTTTTTACATAAGCACCCATAGCCAAAGCTGTGCTGTACAAATTTCAACTTAGTAATTGAAAGAAAGGAAAATGCCAATGGGGATTACCTTAATAAGGTGATGCAATCTTGTTAGAATTTTATGGTAAGTTTCAATTATCAAAGAGAGACTCCACTTATTATAGCTGGGCTGTAAAAGGAATAAAACATCCTCATGGTCCCACTGTGTGGACTTGAAGAAGTTCATGCCTCACCCCTTGATTTTAAGGGAAGACTAGATGGTAATTTTGCGTCTTGTGTTAAAGCTGGGATCATTACCCCCTATCAGATTCATAAAACCTGGGGAAGAAGAGGGCAGTGTCTCATACTCCCTCCGTCCCAAAATGGTTGGCCAAATTTCCTTTTTTGGCCGTCCCAAAAAGGTTGGCCATTTCCATTTAAAGTAAGGAATATGTGGTTAAAGTTAATTCTCTCTCCTCTGCACAAATTTTAACCACACAGTTTTTACTTTATTAATCCACGTGCAAGTCAACATTGGCCAACCATTTTGGGACGGAGGGAGTATTTGATTTATGAGTGGCAGAGTTATTCTTGAAGACATCTTGAACTTGCTATAGCACTCAGTCATTCTCAAGCCAATCTATCTGTTCGGTTCTATCAAGGTGTATCATTGAATTTCCCTTGCATAAGCTTTGTTCATATACAGAGGGTGGTTCAAAATCTGCTCTTTTATGCTAAAGTTAAATCAGGGTTAAGCTTCATTAATGTTGTTGAGCTTTATTTCTTAATTCCAGGTTTAATCCTATGTTTTGACTTTTGAGAATCGAAGGCTGGACTAGTAATTTTGAACTAATTTAAAAGGACAACGCTAAACAAATCTTCTTTATTAACAATTGATGATTCTGTTCAGTTCTCACCTTTTCAGAGACAGGGCTTCATGGCTGCAATTTACTATGTAAACATCATCCCGGAGTCGTACAGCATCCTCCTGATGGTGGATTCACAAAAGTAGTTAACTGGAATGTCTGGAAGGGTATTGAAAAAGAGGACACTAGCTCATATGTTCCATTTCGCTTTGCAACATAACTTGGTAACTGTGGGGGTAATAAATAAATGTGTGAGACATTTAGCCATGTGATAAATAAATTGGTAGCTTCTGATTATTCTTGTTGCTATTTAACTGTGTGAGATGTTTACTTTTTGTGTTTTAAATTATTATCCATTGACACTGCAAAGTTGTAAAAGCAAGTCATGAATCACCGCACAATTCAGCTTCGACCAAATCTCATACTATATACAAAGCAGCGTGGATAATCTGTCCAACTTTGCGCCAAAAGATACGGGTGAAAATCGGCAGAATATGGGTCAACCCGGTTAAAATAATTAGGCTACGAAGATATGAGTGCATTGAGCTGCATTGGAAGTCAGAAAAACTTTATTGTTATTTCATATTTCCTATCCGTCTTCTGAAAAGAAGATAAACATTGGGTGATTGCCGATTGGCAGTCCGTGGAGGGCCTGAGGAGGCTGGAGCAGAGCAACAGGCAAGTGGTTGGACCGTTGGAGTGTCGGACCAGGAGTCTTGGACTGTGGGCGATGCCGTTGACTCGGTCAGCAATTCGGTTGGGCCGCCTGTCCTGGGAGAGTAGGCTGGCTACTGGTAGACGCAGGCGGCAGTCGATGAGATCGGTAGAAAAGTTCCGTTGATGCTAATTGAAATTCACCTCTGGTGATATCTAATTTGACGATCTCTCTGGTGGAAACCCTTGACGGTGAAGGTAACGACCATGGCTCCCTCATAATGTTCCAGCCGACTTTGTCCGGCGAGAGTGAGAAGAAATGGAGATGAATGTGTTCTATACTTCTATGTATGTGGTATCATAACAAAAAATGGCATGCCTTATTGATGGGTTTTGTTTTTTATTTTATAGATAAGTCCTTACAATATTACAAATATCTCTCCTTATGGCCTGCTTTCTATCGTGACTACCAGACTACGCAATGTGTTTAGCTGATTCTATTTCGATTCAGTTTTGCAGCTTTTGTTTTTTTCATTTCTATTCATTTTGACATGTTCATCATTTTTCTTTTCAATGGAGATGATGTCAACTACTCCGTATACTTACTCCGTATTTAGATTTTTTTTTTCCCGTTTTCAATTCAGTATTGAATGTTTTTAAAAGTTTGTTACATTTTTCTTTTTTTAGAATGTGAAATAGTATAAAATATCGATGGTCTAAGGAAAATAGTTACATTGGTGTGCTGGCCGTGAAATAGCGATATAGAATAAGACAATAAAAGAATGTTAGAAGTGTGCAAGTGGGTATTTTTTTAAAAGAAAATAAAGGTGGACTTATTTTAGAAAATGTTCAATCTTTAACTTCAATTTATAGACGTGGTTTTCATGAATCTGTGATTGAAAACGAAACATGAGTGCATAAAGTATATTTAGATAAATATTACAGGTATGTACTTAGTATTAAAAAATCAGTGGAGTATTTAGAAGTTTATACGATAGTATTTATTGAGGAGTATTTAGAAGTTTAGATAGTATTTTGAAAACTCTATAACCTTTTACGTTATTCAAAAATAAAACATTTAACACAATGTCATTGATTGAGGAGTATTTATTCACTCTATAACTTCTTATATAAATTTTTATTACATTTATTATTCTTTAATACATTTAAACTTTCGATGTATATATATATATATAATTCTTTCGCTACTCATATTAACAAATAATAAAAGATAATTGGTGCCGAACCGGACCAGCCAGTTCGACCCGGAACCCGGTCAACCGGACATCTGTCCGGTCCGGTTAGACATCAACCCGCAAATATGGGCATAACCGGAATAAACCGTTGATCCACTTGAACCCGGGACCGATGTGCAGACCAACGTATAAACCAAGATTCGAACTCGCACGCACTGCTTCGTTTGAAGAGTTGCAGACCAACGTGCTACGATACATAGTTGTTGAGAATGGTTGTTTAGCTTCTTTTATACAATGTCAGAATGGGATAACTTATTCAGTCTTAATTCATTAGTTTATTAATTTATAATAAAAATACTAATAAATACACATCAATACTATTATTATACTTTCCAATTATTTATATAACTTTCAATTTTTTTGTTTTAAAGTTATAAATTGTATTATGTTTGTATTTATTATCCATCTAAATCCCAATGTTTTTTTTTAATTTTGTTAAAATCAATATACTTAAATACTACGTATAATGTTTTTTACATTGCATATATTGTATTATCATTATCATATTATATGAAGGAGGAGGGCTGTTCATGTACATATGGATGTACAGGAAGCTCCGTACGGACAAAGCCATCCGAGGCCCTTCCCGGTCGAATTTTTTGATGAAATGTTTTGAGCATATTCTTCATCAAATCTAGTTTATCCATACCAAATTTCAGCTCAAAACTCGATCGGGAAGGCAGTCAAATAAATTCTTGAAATATACTGCACATTATTTATGCGCAGAATGCGCCATATATTTCAAGAATTTATTTGACTGTCTTCTCGATCGAATTTTGAGCTGAAATTTGGTATGGATAAACTAGACTTGATGCAGAACATGCTCACAAAAATTCATCAAAAAATTCCACCCGGAAGGGCCTCTAATGGCTTTGTCCGTACGGAGCCCCCCGTACATCCATATGTACATGATCATTCCTCTATGAAGGAGTATAGTTTTTCTATTTAGGAATTTTAGCTTTTATATAATTAATTAATTATAATCCATATGTATTGTTATTGACCGGGTTTTCCCGGCGTTGACCGGGTTGACCCATGACCCAATCCCTCGGCCGGGTCGCTCACCGGTCCGGTTTTTACAACATAGCGGTACTTCGATTAATCTATAATTTGTTGCCTACCAGCAAATGAGGTTATCCATGAATAATTAATGTCCAAATTAGGCCTCTCAAAGGGTTGGGTTGGAGCATCCATTCTGACTCGTTAATTTATTTAATGCTCCAAACCTGGACTGATTACCCGTCAGAAGTTCTAAACCTTAACCGTCTCGTAAACAATTCGGGTTAACTCGCCTAATTTGAGATTTACATAATCATTCTTTTTTAAATAAATTTTTTTGATAACTACAGCTCTCTCTGTTCCCTTATTTTTTTCCCATTCCTTTTACAGATCAATAAAAAGGGAGGGGAAAGGTTGTTTTTGGGTAATCAATGCAGAACAATATAAAAGAAAAAACACTAAATAAAACTGATACAGGTGAAAACAAATACAAAATGTTTATCAATCTTTCTTAACATGGAGTATATTAAACAAACACACACACAAGAGTCATGTTGAACTTGTCCAGTCAAAGCCTCACTGCTACGCACCAAGGCCCATCATGATGAAGTGACTAGGCATTCATATGAACAATTTCTCAATGGCATTCTTAAGTTAAGTTATTTGAGCTTTTAACTGACTTCCCTCATTGCTAGTAACTGAACAAGCAATTACTGGTCGAGTAATACCACAAGCTCGGCCAATAGCTTCTATGGATTTAACAAACACACAGGGGACATTCTTATCCTCAGCAAGAAGTGGAAGGGGAAGAAGAATTTCAAGTGGTTCAGTATCAATAGCCATCACAATAAACAATACTAAAAAATTCCCCTGTTTTAGTGTCATAGTAGCTTCATTAGCACCCTTTTTAAGCTGCATGCTTATAGTTGGTTGCTTGTGAAACCAAGTCATGTATTACTATGGTGAGTTCGGACCCAGCCATTACTATGGTGGGCTATAAGAAAACTATGATCATTTTTCTAAATTGAATCTCACATTTGTCTTACATTGGTGGATGGAGCTAGTATTAATTTATGCATGCACTATGATATTTGTTAACAAATGGTCTACAATCAAGGGAAATAAGTCAAATAACAATTACGCTCACTATATTTTTCTACAAATCTTACTCTATGATCTTTGAATGAGACTCTCTAGGACCCAAAGCCCAACATTCGACCGCAACACACAAAACCGTTTTCGTCACACTTTGCAACCTACAGGTCTCAAAAAAGAGAGACTGATGATGGTAGCTCTTTGTATACACAGATTGATAATATATTTTTTCATGATTGATATTATTTAAATATATATAGAGAGAGACAGAAAAAAGATCACATGAGAAGTGTATCTTCGGCTGAAAAATAAGAAGCATACTCCAACGTCAAATCTGTATACTCAACCGTCAGATCAACTCAAAACAAGTGCATCTCATTAATGGAAAATTTAGTAAATATTTCTTAATTTACATCCTTTTATTGATTGACCAAAAATTATTGATACAGAGTATGAGTTTGGGCTTCGCTTCGCTGTCTCTGTGCCTGATCTCCTCCCTCTTTGCTTTCCATGGTTGTCTTCGATCGGTTGCTTTTGTTTCATTTCGATCCAGCATTTTGATTTTAATTACAGCCATCCACCGGCGATTGAAATAGTGAGGAACAAGTTCATCATATAAACACTTGTCGGCGATATGCTTCATACATAGGTAGAATGTCCAATATCTGGAAAACCATCAAGTCCGTTAAGGTTAGTCCAAATCCATCGAATATAGGTTTCAAAATAAAATGATCAAGCCTCAATATTTGCTTTTAATATCTTTTAATTTTGTGTCCTAAAAGGGGCAACCGGCTCTTCCATATCTTTTAATGCAGTACATCGGATCATCCATATATATATACAGTGAGAATATGGAAGGCTAAAATATTGGTTGCACTATGCGTGCATGGTGATATCCGTAAGTATCCATCCTTTCCATATATGTGCATGTGAATAATATCAAGTAATACTCCCCCTCAAGTTGGAGTGTGAAGGTCCCGAATACCCAACTTGCTACGTTGAAACTAAAACCGATCTGCACCTAGAGCCTTAGTAAAAATGTCGGTGACCTTCTGTTCCGTGGAGATGGGTTGAGGTTGAATTTCGCGACTCGTGACCCGTTCAGTCGTTCACGAACAAAATACCAATCCATTTCCACATGTTTAGTGCGTTCATGATAAACGAGATTGATAGCAATATGATGAGCAGCTTGGTTGTTGCAAAATAATGGGGTTGGCGAAGTAAGGTGAACGCCAAAATCACGCAGAAGCCAGCATAGCCAAATGATCTCACTAAGAGCAATTGCCATGGACCAATATTCTGCTTCAGCGGATGAGCAGGATATGACACCTTGCTTTTTCATACACCAAGAGATAGGAGATCCGCCGAGACTAATGAAATAACCAGAGCTGGAACGGTGGGTAAAGGGGCAACCGGCCCAGTCAGCGTCACAGCACCCTGTCAAGTTTAAGTCATCGGTGGATGAAAGAAATATGCCCATGCCTGGCGTAGCTTTTAAGTACCGAAGAATACGGTGTGCAGCGTAGAGATGCGTTTATCGTGGTGCGGAAAGAAATTGGCTCAATTGATTCACTGCAAACATAATGTCAGGACGTGTCACTGTGAGGTACGTCCAATGAGCCCTAAGAAATGTGACGTACATGGAGGCATCGATACGAGGGTTGTCATCCGTAGGGCGTAATTTAAGGTTTTGATCCATAAGAAATGAACTTGGGCGGCTGCCCTGCATGCCACTCTCTTCGAGGATATCCAAAGCATACTTACATTGGATAAGAACAAAGCCGATAGGCAATCGTGCCACTTCGATTCCAAGAAAATACTTGAGTGTGCCAAGATCTTTGATGGTGAAGTGATCACCAAGACATTGTTTGACGTGGTTTATATGAGCCAAGTTGTTTCCGGCGAATAGTACGTCATCAACATCAATAAGTGTGGCAGTATAAATAGAACTGCGCCGGTAGACAAAAAGGGAATGATCAGCCCAAGATTGGCAATATCCAATAAGCAAGAGGGATTGGGTAAATTTTTCATACCAATTACGAGAGGCCTGCCGAAGTCCATATAAGGATTTTCGGAGTTGGCATACGCGATGATCACTCAGTTTAGCAAAACCTTGCGGGGTTTTCATATACACATTTTCATGAAGGTCACCATGTAGAACAGCGTTGTTGACATCAAGTTGATGAACAAGCCAATTATTTTTTGCCGCAACTGCAAGTAAACAACGGACAGTGACTAGTTTGGCTGCAGG